GGATTTATTCCATTTGGAATCACTGCACGATCACAGGACTGTGATAGCGTGTTGCAGTCTCAGTATAAAGCAAGAGCCCAAATATTTTCAAGCACCCATATGATCATTAAATCTTTGCTGTAATGCTCTGTATCTCCTGGCAACGAGAAGCTGAGGACTTGGGGCTTCTCACTTGAGATCACTGAGTTCAAATATCTCCAAGCCCCCTCCCACGATCCAGAAACACGCCATCGTTTGTGGGTGTGATCCCTGTCTCTAGGACTGAGAATAAAACCAACACAGCTGCAGGAAACCTCCCCTGTACATTGTATTTGCCATGTATCACAACACAAACATAACACAACCAGCAGATAATGGCCTAACAAACAGCTCAATTGTTCAGGCTAAAGACATCAAAAAGGCACGTGGAGAGCTTTCCAGGACACGGATCCCCACCAGCTTCTGGGAAGGTAAGCACAGACTGAGTCAGAGCTCTTCGACACCCAACACAGGACTTGCTGCATACCCGTAACCCATAAATCACTGGCATCAGGGCCAGCTCCTCTTGCCAGCTTCTGCTCTTTAGGAAGCATGCTCCTTCTAACTGGCTTCCAAAAAGAAGCTGCTAGACAATGTTTTTTTATCATCTCTGCCTAATGACTGATAGATTCAAAGAGACCACTCTGCACACTGTCACTCTGGAGACCATCGATGTGATCAGGAGATGAGAGAAGGAACAAAATACCTAAGGTCCGAGATTTGGCAAAGGCAACCAGCATTTTTGGTTGCTCATCAGAAACCTGAAAAGGGCTCTGTCTCTTGAAGGCAACAAGCCCACTCCTCATGAACCCCAGGAGGCTGATGAAGTCAAGCTACACACAGCAAGGGCTCCAAATTGCTGTGTTCTTCTGGAATTCAAGGCATCACATCCTGACAGTGCCAAACACAGAAAAGTTCAAGTCTAAACTCTCATCCCTCAAGAGAAGGTTACCAATACCACCACTAAATACCAAGCTCTCATAAAACAGCTCATGATGGAGGTTGGTATCATTGTTCTGCTTAATGGACAGAGAAGCTAAAGCTCAACTAGGCCAAATTATTTGCCTACAGTTGCCCAAAGAGTCAACAGCAGAGCTGTTTGAAGGCTCTGTTTTCCAGCCAACACGCCACAATGCCACTCTCATACTAGGTTAGAAATGAGGCAAGAATGAACGTGCTATAAGAAACTCCCAGATCAGCACTGGAGGAAAAAAACATCTTCCTACCGACTGTGACACCTGGACTCGGACTTCGCTGGTATCTAACGGCGATGTACTTGATGCCTGGGACCTTCTCTCTGAACTGGATTGGTGCTCCCGGTATTTCTTTGACCTTGCAGGTAACGACAAGAACTCTTTTCCAGAAATCTTCAGGTCTCCCACGTGATGGCTGTCCCCATTCTGGTCCTTGGGAAAGCAAGAAACAGTCATTGCACAAATTGCTTGTCTCAGGTTTACGTGGAGATCTGTTGGCAAGTATCCATAGGACAGGAGACACACAGAAGCAAGAAGTGAACATGGGGTTTAGATGGTGTGAGTTACCACTCATGATGTGGGTTGAATGAGGACATTTTGCCTATCTCCACAGCAGGTGATTTTAGCGAGCAGAGAGAAAACATCCTTCAAACAACACACAGTAGTCAACCTCTCCATATGGAGAAGTCAGAAAGTAGCAGCATCCTCTTAAAAAAAATCCAGGTATGGAGGTAGAGGCATGACTAGTTTATTTACAGGCACAGGGAATGATGAAGGTTCAGAAGCAGGCACAGCTGCTTGTGATTTCTGGCAACTACACTCATAAAAACCTTTTCCAGAGTGGCAAGCTCATCTCACCCAGGATATCAAACTCTCAGCACAAGTCTCTCCACTTGCTGTATCTTCGCTTCCTCCCAGCACACAATCATGCCGCAGCCCACGCTGAACCATGGAAAACCCAACGATGCTCCAGGGAACACAGCTATGCTAGATGCTTCCCAGCATTTCCCACCTCTAGGATTTGGCTACCAGCACACACGGAGCATTGTCTGCCTCAGTGTCTCCCACTGGCTTCATCAAGAAGAGCAGCCCTCACCCAACAGTTTCCTAAAAGGCAGATTAACGCGAGTGGCTGGAGTCCCATTCAGCTCTTTGCCAGCCTTCATGCTGCCAGAAGCACGTGGGGACCACAGGGTAACACAACTAACTGCAGCAGATGCCTGTTCTCGCACTGCTGCCCTCCTTTGTTCTCTTTACTGCCTGTGCTCAGTGCTCCCATGGCCATATAAAATACAGGATTATCACCCCTGTGTAACACATGGGGAAACTGAGGCGACAGAGATTACACATCTCCTGAATTCCAGTTTCTGCCCCTTCTCACTGCAGCTGCTCACTCTGCTTTTCCAGGCCCTGCCCCATGCCTAGCTCCTCCATTCTCACCCCCTTCCCATAAGATCCACACAACTTGATCCCTTGTCTGTCCAAAGACTCGGCTTAGCAGCCCTGCCTGTGTTATCACAACAGCCCCATCACTGCTGGCACACAGATGAGGCCCTGTGCAGAAGCATCAGCAGGAGTATTCAGCATTCAGCTCCAAAGACACTTAATAAAGGCATCAGGCACTTTACATGTGACCGGTGGGAACTGAGTGCCTAAACCTGCTCCATGCTTTGGGCATTGGGGTTTCCAGGCTGCAAACCAGCTCTGTATCATATATAAGGCACTGAGAGGACTCCCCAGGGTGTCCTCATTGCAGCAATCAGGTGAAAGAAGCTCAGGCACAGCTCAGGAGATGACCCAAGGACCCACAAAGTTGGGATTTTAGGGCACACACACCAAAAAGCCAAGGACAGCGAACAGGACCTGAAGTCACAGCACACCAACAGAACAGCAGGATGCTGCAGCCAAAATGACTTTTCCATTCCTTGCAGTACAAACAGGAATAGTGAGAACAAGTGAGGAGAGATTCGTCTCCCTAAACGCTATCGATGGGACCAACTGCAGCTAGGCTGGTGTCCAAATTTTGAAGAGCAGACACAAAAGTGGATTTCAGAACTGGAAAGAAACTGCCATACAATGCTTTACTGCCTTAGTAAGAGGCCTCAAACTGTTTAGTTCATGATAAAAAGAATAGATGACTCAATTACGGCACGTAGCACCTTCAGGGTAAAAACCAGCATGTGATAAAGAGATTTTTAGTCTGGTGGAGAGAGAAATAAACGAGAACCAATGGCTGGGAGCTAAAACCAGAGATGTTCAAAACAAGGAATAAGACACAGGCTGGAGAGATCAGGATGACAGAGAAGTGGCATTCCCGCTATCTGCTGGGGCGTTCAGAGCCGATGAGTGTGCATCCCAGCAGATAAGCTCTGCCCAGACACACAACTCCATGCAGAGGCGTTAGACAAGAGCTCCTGGCCTGTGCAGTAAAAGGAGTCCCTGCTGACTTTGAAGGCTACCTCTGGCAGAAATGAAGGGCAGAGAGGGTGAGATGATAACAAGAGGGTGCTGGAGAATTCAGTTCACTCCACTGACTTATTCTTTACAATCTTATCACTCTCATCATTGCGAGCTTGAAGCAAATACCTGCCTCCCGTGACAGTAATCACCTCTCCCTAGGAGCTGCAGCAGGAGAGAGGAAGGGGAACTGCACCCAAAACACTCTCACAAGGAGAGCTGAACTCGCACACACCCCACAGAACCACTGCAGGGGGACTGGGACAGCTCATGTCTGACTCCACAGTTATGGACTACTCAGAGCTCCTGTTTACTCCACCCTCCCCATAAAAACCCTGAAATCCTATAACCCTGCCTGAACTATTGAACGAAGCTCAGCTTTTACAGCAAAGAGTAGGAAACCAACAGCATTAACAGCATTAGCAGCAAATCACACATCAGCAAAACTCTCCCTGCCAGACCCCTGGGCCATGCTGCTCCGATGAGGATACACAATGGAACATCTCCCTGGCATCGGGCATCGCTGTCACCGCTATCGACACCCGAGACCTGAAGTCACACTGGTCAAAACAGGTAGGAGCCAAAACGGCCAGTGGGCAGTTGGGAAAATTAATAAAAATACTAAGAGTGCTTGGTGTTTAACTCCAAAAGAGAGTTAATTCAGGGAGGAGCTTTTGTCAGGCCCTCCCAGTGCTTACTGGGATGTTTAGGCACCCGGATGGTTTTGCAAGCCTGAGGTTATTTCCCATTGACCATCTGGACCTACCTGCAACTTGAGTGAGTTTTTTCTCTTGTGACACTTCTGTAAAAGGGGAAATGCTCCCTGGGGCACTCGGGAGAGCTGTGCCTGGAAAGCACTGGAGGGATGTAAATTATTCATGCCAGTGACATTCCAAAAAGGCAGAGCACGGCTGCCTGCCTGGCCATCTCCTCCGGGAACGGGCATGACAGCCCCATGGCAGCACCAGTGCCTGCCGCACGGCAGACCCAGCGATCGTGCGCAGGATTTTCTGAGAAACTTAAATGATCCCTGTAGGTGGAATGGCTCAGTGCCTCCCAGCTGACTGTCGAAACAGCCTTCGCCCTGGGGAGACTGGGAAAAGGCTGACCCGCTTGGATCCGACGTTTCCAGCAGTGAAATCCTCAGAGCCCCTTGGAACAAACCCCTCTGCCTCCTGCAACGCACCGTCTCCCGCTGCTGACTTCTCCTTCCCTCCTCGTGCTGAATGCCACGCTCCGCTGGGCTAAGAAGGTGCTGAGATCTGCCACCAGCCACCAAAGGGGCTAAAATGCTAACGATTAGCCTCTCAATAAAGGGCTGTTTTTTCAAAAAAGCATCGAAGTGGCTTTTTCAGCTTTCAGTTGTTAAGTGCCTTTTTAGTTGGACCAGCTGTTCCTCTCCTCCAAGCTCTCTAGAAACCCTCTTCGGTTAATCCCATTGACTCCAGTGATATCTGCTAATTACATACTTCCCTGCAAATGAAGCCAGTCAACAAGCCATTACAGATTCCTACTGATATTTAATCTTTGAGGCCAGACATCTTTGCTTACCTTTTCAGAAGGGAACTTCAGGAGGTCTAAGCTGTCCATGCTGTTCCTTTGGAATCTCTTTGGCCTGGCTCCTGCAAAACAACGCACTCTCAAATCAGGAGGGTGTCACTCACCCACAGCACTAATGTCACACAGATAAAATTCAAACCAGGGCAGACCTTCCACTCCTCTTAAGTACAAAGTCAAAAGGAGGAGATGCTGCAGCTGTGCTGTCCTTGAGATTCAAATGTGGTTTTTTTTCTTCTATTGTTTTGGGTCTTTTTCCAAACACTATCACAGCACAGTCAGCAACAGCTAGGGCTGCCTGAAGCTTTTGCTATCAAACCAGCAGCCCAGCCGGGTCACACTATGACCATGATCTTCACTGAGGCCTCTGGAATTCAGAAGTTACAAACCCCACTCTAAACGACCAAAGTCAGGGGACTGACATTGAGAAAAATCATAACAAAACCATAGTATAATAAATGCGGGGATTTGTTGCTTTATCTTCATGTTTTTAATTTAAAGAATGTATCTGGGATGAAGCTTTGAGCTTTTATCTACAGTCACAAGGGCTGGAAAACTAAGGGAAGGAGCACATATTTTCTAACTATCATAGGCCCAGCCTTAAGGGGAAAAAAAACTTGCCCTGAGGCTGACAGAGAAATTGAAAAATTTAGCAGCATTCATTATATTTATTTGCGATTTTAGAAAATTCATTTTAATGTAGTATTCTAGCAACAACAGAGTGGGCGAAACACAGTTCAGCTCTGGCTCCTTTCCAAACTCTCTTTACCTCCATGCTTCCCTCCAGCCTGCTTCCAGCTTCTATTGCCCTGCTCACTAACACAGCCAGGACTTACCAAACGGCCCTGGGATACCTTCACCACATCTGGGAAAAATTCTGCACCTTCACCCTCCTGCTCCCCTTCCCTGATCTTTCCTGAAGGTTCAGTTTAGCTGAGCACCACATGACATCCCACACCAGCAACACCAAACAGCGCAGAAATGAAAGCTTTGGACTCAGGTCTCATGACAACTTCCAAGCTTCAGGGGAAATCCTGGGAGGTGTCTGAATGCATGCATGTGAATGGAAACCCATCTCCATGCTGAGCCCTGAGAACGGAAACCACTGAGCTTTGTGTGGTTCCTGCAACAGCAAACTCACCAGCCCTAAAGATTCCCCAGTTTCCCACCATCACCTAACAGCACCACTGCGTATTTTAAGGCAGCACCCGTGGACTCTGTTCAAACCCAGGGTGCCACTGAGCTGCTCACTGGACAAACTTAACAAGAGAGGAGGCACAAAATTCCTAAAACCATTCAAGACTGGCTGTAAGCAGAACGCGGTGATTAAGTGGAAAAAGCCACCAGGCAGCAGGGATTCCTGCACTACACAGCCCTGCCAGAGACCCATTCACTCCATACAGGACTCTCCTTCCACGTGCTAAACACCACCCAAGCTTACACAGGGCATCAGCGATACCAGTTTTTAGCTGGGAGGACCCAGAGCTCTTAAACGAAGCTGATGTCCTGTACCAACTCAGTGGGAGACACAAGACACCCCATACCCAGCTCCCACCAGCAACCTGTGGGCATCAGCATGGAGGAGGGGGCCGTGCCATGGCAGGGTGGCCCCCGGTCTCCTCCCACGCTGCCAAATGAGCAAAGGGCTTTTGGCTGCTGCCACGGCGGTCAGGCAGGAGCTCAGCGAGGGGACGGCAGCGGTGACATTCAGGACATTGCTATAGCTGCTCATGGCTCCCACCTTCCCTCAGAATAACCTGTAGTTTTACACGTGGAGCAGCAAGGTGGGTCTGGAAGAAAAGCCGTCTACAAACACTCAATCAGATGGTACGTTTGGGTTTCAAAGCGATGCCCAAGAGGCAAGGCCAGCATCTGGAAGTGAGCGTGCGTCACAGCGGCTTTTAACAGCCACTTCCAGGAAAGCAAGAAAGAAGCGAAGTGTGTCTGATTAGATAAACACACATCATTTCCAACAGCCTAAAGAGTCGTTAATTATACACCTCCGTCCTCAGGTGCTTTTGTACATTCGCAATAGCATTAAACTGCTGGCCAGAAACCATTAATCTCTGATCTGAGAAAACCTGCCTTCCCCTGTGTTAATTTAATATCGGTCAGCTGAGGCCACCCCAGTGATCAGGACACGCAGAACAATTTGTCTTTTCCAGTTGTTTTGATGCTGGTGTTCCTCTGGTACCCTGCGGATCTCACATTCAGTTGAGCTAAGAGAGGAAGAAGTTAGGAGTTACAAACTCAACTTCAGAGCCTTTAGGCTCAGCTAGCTTCTTTTAGAAGAAAACACAACCAGCACCAGGGCCAAACGTTGGTCTTGCAAAAGCCCATGGTGTTGCCAGCCCCACAGCGAGGCAGCGCCAGTGAAACAAGCAGCCACCTGAAGTGGCTATCGGAAAGGGATCAGTCAGGGCTATTGGAAACCGGATCCACGCAGGCAGCAATTCCCACCACCCTTGCAGGAGCTTCTCCCGTCCACTCCGCAGCAGACCGGCTCAGTAGCCTGGGCACACTCGCCTTCCAGGAGAGTAGAAAGATTTCCATACTCACAGGCATCCCACGACAGAACGAGTCCCATTAATTGTCTGTCTCCGACCAGGACGTTCTCTCAGATTGCTCCAGACGTAACTTCCAGCCTCCTCCAAGTTATTTTTCCCAGAAATACCTGCAGCACCATCTAATAACTCAGTCCTAAGTTCAACTCTGCCTCTTTCTCCCCCGTGCCGATCAATGGCAGCAGCAGCCGTGGATGCAATAGAGTGAGCAGCTGAAAACCAGGGTCTGTTCCTCTGGAAGGTTTTTTCCTCTCTCTCCAGTATTTATTGGCATGTTTACCAAGCCTGCTGCAGAGTAACGGAAAACCTCAGGGGCATTTCTAAATGCTTGCTCTGTCTTTAAGGTTTACTGAGGTCTCTAACAGAGCAAGTTGAAACCTTCTTGTGAACATCAGCTGAGCAACGCTACTGACTGGCTGTATTCATGCCTTGTTTTCCTGGAGCAACTCACTCAGATGTTGTTCTTTTCACTGCTCAGGCTCAGGGTTGTTGCTTCTTTTTAAAATATTTTTTTTCAAAATCTCTTCCCCTCCCCCACCCATGATCTCAACACCACCATGAACCAACATTGTGCTTTGGTTTGGTTTTGGTTGTTGCTTTTTTTTTTTTTTTTTGCCTTTTGCAGGTTGGTTCCTGAGGTGAGTTTAACCGTTTTCACATTCCTGTATTTTAAAACTTGATGAAGCATTCATGTCCCTACCTGGAAGGGAGCAATGAATTCCAGGGAGGAGGAAGTTTATTGCAACAGTATAGTGGGAGATGCTCATGTGCTTGCTTGCATACATACAAGACATCCTGCTTCTCTCAGCTCCCTTACATCCTCTCATCTCACAAATACTCCCTATTCTACTGTCTTTGGGACACTAACTCAATATATCCACGTCAGACACCTATCTAGACCCATCTTTTTTCCTCTGTCTCACCTCCCCACCCTGCAGAGAAAACGACAGCCCCTCTGTATGTCCTTGTACTACCTGTGATGACATGGAGACAGGAACCTTTATCTACAATCTCTTTTTCACAGTCAGCAGCTTGGTAGTGCATGCTCCCCCCCCTTTCCTTGGGCTTTTAAGCTGATCAGCATAAACCTACACTGGACCCTGCATCTCTGATGGAGAAGCCAAAGCAGAGTGCTGACATGGCACATGCAGCAAGCACAGCATCTTCCCACCCATTCTTCTCCTGTCCCCTTGGTATCTGCCACCAGCTCCATAATGCCTGGAAGGGCAGGATCAGTATGGTCTCCAGAGGGAAGGGCTCTCTGTTCCTGTGCCACAAGCAGGCCCTCCAACAGGCAAGTCCTTGTTTTTCAGCGTGCAATTAGAGGAGAAATGCTCACATAGCAAGAATTCTCTAGCAGTACCTTGCTACAAAGTGAGCTACAGCCACAGAAAACACAAGGAAGTGTTTTATTGTAGGACAGCAATGGGATCATCCCATGTAAATTTGCAGTAGGGCAGAGCTGGGTAGACAGTGTGGGCAGAGTTTTGTTCCTCTATGGACAGTCTCCATATCCAGCTGGTGCTCCTGAGATATCAGAGTTGACAAGATCGAGCAGAACATGTGTAGCAGTGACTCAGGGAGCCCTGCCAGGAGCTCTCATCAAGTTGACATGTGCTTTGATAACTACTAGGCTCTCCCCTCATCTCCAGGAGCTTGGAGAGCTGCCCGTTCCATCGCTGTTTGAGACGAAGCAAACCACCCCAACGCAGATCAAGCGACAGTTCTATTTGCAGGCCGGGAACACGCTGTATCCCTCTGGGGTGGCTGTACCAGAGGAAGCAGAATTAAACCTGACAGTGGACCTCACAGAAGGCCAACAAGGAAAGGTTGTATGGCCAATATCATACCCCTCTGTCCCCAGCCCTCCTGGCTGAGCAGCACGCACAGCTCAGTGGCAGCAGTTACCCCACAGAGCACAAGCTTTGCACCACAGACAAAGAGAAAACAAGTCTTGGTGTAAGGACTTGCTGTATTTTCATGAAAAGGTCATTTCTGTTTGTACCTGTATTAACCGAGATACTGACTTGTCTTTTGGGCAAGTTCTTCCAGCCCAGGACAGTGGCTCCCCATGTTTGTACAGACCCCCAGCATTTCAGAACACTGATTTTGGCAGACAACTCTCAATATTGTTCAATATGATTAAATTAGATCAGTCAACCAGTTGTTTGGGGTGGAAGACTGGTCTGTAAACCCTACCAAGCTCAGAAGTGACAGTAGAGATACGGTCCAGCAATTCGAATGCACTCTGAGCATCTCAAATCATACACTGCTGACATCTAATCAGGAAAGCTCTGTCAAGCTCATGCTCCATTATTACAGCAAGCTCTTCAAAGACAAAAGGAGAAAGGAAAAGCACAGCAGCAAGAGAGGAAAGGAAAAAAAAAAGCAGCCTCCAGTAGGACAAGCATCTCATTTAAGGCTTTAATTAGTCTTCAAATGCATAATGGATTCTGGCACTATAAATCCACTTGACCTCTATTACTGCCAGCACTTGCATG